CTCTCCCTTACGCTGCCGCACATTTCTCTTTCTCTCTCGCTATTTCACACAAGGTTTTTTTTTTTTTTTCTGCCCTTTTAAAATCTAAAATGCAATTAGAATGAAGAATGTGGCATTTCATTATCATACATGTATAAGCAGTAGCCGGAGGGCTGGCTGCCTCATGGAGAGTGAATGGCAGAATGAAGGCTCCAGCTTTCCCTGGAGGAGAGTGATGGAGATATCCCACAAAGCCACTGCCTGTCAGCGTGATCGGGCCCGCAGTGGGCCAGCGTCTCCACGATGTCTCTGCCTCACAAAGCAAATGTCACACTGTCAGCAAAATGAGCACCCTGTTTAAAAAAAAAAAAGGAATATTTGAAATGGGAGCTTTATAGAGTCAAGAAGTGAACTTCACATATTGGAATTATTTTTATTGTGACACATATCACAGTATTCAGCAAAGCGTTTTCCTCTGGCTGGCAATAGGTGACTTGTGTGTGTGTGTGTGAGTCCTGTTCTCCTTTACCCCATAGATGTGGTTCTCTAACTTTTCAGATACTTTGATCAAATCAAAACAGGAAGTACCAACTATACCGACAGTGGTTTTTTTTAGCATACTGTCTCTTTCTGTTTAAGCTTAATGTGTGAGCTGTGTAATGCCATGCTTGATTAATATCTATTTCTTTTTTTGCTGTTATGAGAAATCGTGGCGCTGTTAGAACCCTCATTAGTCTCTTTTGCAGGTCTGTTAATCAGACCAGCATCCCAAACCACAACATAAAATAACATTTCGAAAGAAATCCAATGGAATTTATGCAAATTTTGCAGTCCAGTTCAAACACATTGATACTTTTTTAAATTTGTGAAATCAGCAAGTTCAACTTTAAGTGCAACATAAGTCAACTTCTCACCTCTTATTCACATTGCAGTAGTAATAATGTACCTTATAGAAATGTAATGGTGACTATACCATTCAAAATTTAGGGTGATATTTAAAAAAATATATATACTTTTATTCAGCACGAATGCAAGTCAGCATATTAGAATTATTACTAAGGTTATTTTAAATTGTAATATTTCACAAAATTGATACTTTGTTTTTGAAAAAAGTATTGTTCAATTAAATCTTATCAACACCAAACTTTTGACTGAAGGTGTATAACTGTATATAAATGTAGAATACAATAAATAATACAATATTTTACAATAAATTTAAAGGTTGCACTTCATTTTGATGGTCCATTTTAGACATTCTACTAACTATAAGTAACATTGCAAATTCATGTCAACATACTCTGAGTATTAGTAGACTGTTAGGTTATTGGATAGGTGTTAGGGTTTGGGTGGAAAAAATGTACATAGTTGCAAAGTCGCTTAGTAGATTGTCTGTTGGGGGAGTATCGCAATTAAGAGTTAGCAGATATTAACCAGACAGTCTACAAATACTCTAATGAGAGTTGTAAAGTTACTTAGTATAATGTCTAAAGTGGACCATTAAAAAAGTGTTACCAATGAAGAAATATCATAAATGTGTTCATATTTAAATAATAAAATAAAATAAGATTTTATATATTTAAAAAAAACTCTTTTTTTGCTTTGTTTACTGTCAAGCAATGTGTTGCTGGTGTCCCATGTCTAGCACACCAAGGAGTGTCCAAGAGCCCTGGTTTCACCCTGCCCACAGGAATAAACACTAAATCACAAACGGGCCATAGCGTGTGGGTCAATGCGTGAGTGTTTGTGTCCATGTGTGTCCATGGGAGTGTGAAAAAGCTCAATCGAGGCACTCCATGAGATTGTTAGCACGAACCGGACCACCCTCTCCTCTTGTATCCCTTTTAAGTGCTGACTGGCCTGATGATAACGTATGGCGCCAGAAGTAATTGGAAAATTGGCAGGCTTGTCAGAGAGATTTGGTGGATGGCACAGGCTGATCCGGCAGCAAGGTTCATGAGGTGTCGTCCCACCATGAGATTTATATCTCTGCACGGCCCGGCAACGGCAAAGTACCCAGAGTTCAGGAAAAAGTAACTCATTTTTCATAAGGCCTGGCTGCAGATCAAAAGTCATCCACAGACAGAGACAAGACCCATATGGGAGAGACATTGCTGAATAAAGCAAAGCTGTCTGTCCAGATTAACTGCTGAGACGGCTCCTGAAGCCACGTATTGGGCGTGTATCACAATTCTGATCTTTATGTGTCTGAAAATTATGCTGGCCTATAGCAGTTTTCTTTTACATATGAAGCATACAAGGTTATTACTATTTAATTACTAGGTTATTACTATGTTGTTACTATATTCATTGAATCTGCTTCTATAAATGTATTACTAGTTCTAAGAACAGTAGAGGCTTTTAATGAGATGTCTGAAAACTATGACCTATAGTAGAATGCCATATGTTTTGGTCATACTTTTTTACAAGCTTATTACTATGTAATTACTATGTTGTTGCTATATTCATTCGATTTGCTTATATTAATGTATTAATTGCCATAATTAACAATTGATGATTTTAATGGTGTCTGAAAACTGACATAGTAGTTTCCCATATCTTGTTGTCATACTTTTTTTAACAAGGTTATAACTATGTAATAACTAGGTTATTACTTTGTTTTCTATAAACATTGGATTTGCTTCTATAAATGTATTCATATTTCTAAGAAACAGTAGATGCTTTCAATGAGATGACTGAAAACTATGACCTATGGTAGTGTCATATATTGTGGCCATACTTTTTACAAGGTTATTACTATGTAATTACTAGGTTATTACTATATTCATTGGATTTGTTTCTTTAAATTTATGAATTGTCCTAAGGTACAATAGATGCTTTTAATGAGATGTCTGAAAACTGACAATGTAGTTTCCCATATATTGTTGTCATACTTTTTTTTTTTACAAGATAATAACTATGTAAATACTAATAACTATGTAAATACTAGGTTATTACTATGTTGTTACTATATTCATTGGATTTGCTTCTATAAATGTATTAATAGCTCTAGGGAACAGCCAATCCTTATGAGATGCCTGAAAACTATGACCTATGATAGTTTCCCATATATTGGTCATACTTTTTTTTACAAGGTTATTAATATATAATTACAAGGTTATTACTATGTTTTCTATAAACTTTGGATTTGACCTATTGTAGTCTTCCATATATTGTTCCCATACTTTTTTAAACAAGTTTATAACTATGTAATTACTAGGTTATTACTATGTAATTACTATATTCATTGGATGACAAATAGTAGTTTCCCATATATTGTGGCCATACTTTTTAAAAAGGTTATTACTATGTTATTATATTATTGTGGCCATGTGTTATTACAATGTTATTACTGGGTTATTACTATGTTTTCTGTAAACATTGAATTTGCTTCCATAAATTCATTAATTGCCCCAAGGAACAGTAGATGCTTTCAATGAGATGTCTGAAAATTATGACCTATGGTAGTTTCCCATATAGTGTGGCCATTCTTTTTTAAAAAGGTTATTACTATGTCATTACTGGGTTATTACTATGTTGTTACTATATGTATTGGATTTGCTTCTATAAAGGCATTAAAGCTCTAAGGAACAATAGATGCTTTTAATGAGATGTCTGAAAACTATGACCGATTGTAGTTTCTCATATTTCGTGGCCATACTTTTTAAAAAGGTTATTACTATGTAATTACTAGGTTATTACTATGTTTTCTATAAACATTTGATTTGCTTCTATAAATGTATTAATACTTCTAAGGAACAATATATTCTTTTAGTGAGATGTCTGAAAACTATGAACGATATTAGTTTCCCATATATTGTGGCCATACTTTTTGAAAAGGTTATTATGTTGTAATTACTAGGTTATTACTATGTTGTTACTATATTGAATTTGCTTCTATAAATGCAATAATAGCTGTAAGGAACAGACAATGCTTATAATGAGATGTCTGAAAACTTTGACCTATACTAGTTTCCCATATATTGTGTCCATACTTTTTTACAAGCTTATTACTATGTAATTACTAGGTTATTACTATGTTGTTACTATATTCATTGGATTAGCTTCTATAAATGTATAGCTCTAAGGAACAATAGATGCTCTTAATGAAATGTCTGAAAACTATAACCTATAGTAGTTTCCCATATATTGCTATATTTAATTATAAGGTTATTAGTAGGTCATTACTATATTCATTGGATTTTCTTCTATAAATGTTCCAAAAGCTCTAAGGAACAATAGATGCTTTTAATGAGATGCGTGCTCTTGATTCTTTCTGTAAGTAAAGCCATGAATCATCATGTGCTTCTCAGCTTCTTTGAGTATAGTGTGTGGTCAGGGCTCTGCCATCACACATGGCTGTGCGTAGATGTGTTTATTAACCTTTGCAGGAGGGGATAATTGCATCTGTCAGACTCACTTAAAAGCTGAGATGGCCGTCATTTCCTGTTTGTCGTCTCCTCTAAATTTGCAGGTTGTTTAAATGACTCTGGCATGACGTTTGCTCTTTGTTCACTGCCGTAGAGGTGCTAAAATTACCATTATTCAGAGCGTTGCATGTTGAAATACAGTTTAAAACTGGGATTATTGCTAGTGAATTTCTAGTAACATACATTCAAATTAGAAAGGAAAATGGACACGGCCTAGCTGTCTTTAAATTCGTCCTGTTTTTTGGACACACTTTATATTAGGTATCTTTAACTATGTACTTACATTTAGATTGAGTACACTGAGTCCATCAACACCCCCAAAGCTCGCACAGTCGTTTACCTCTTTGTGGGTTCGACATTTTTCTCTGTAACATTAGGCAGTTTTGATTTATAAGCTTTTGAATATTTGCTACTCACATTAGCGTTCTTGTGTGTAAGCAATACTTCTATCCGCTCCTTCTGGTTTACTCAGATCACCATCTACGTTTGTTTTTGGATCCGGAGATGTTGTACTATTTCATGTACATTTCATCCATGTTGTCATACATGACGGAAAATCTCATCAATGGAGGTTAATACGATTTTATTTTTCAGGAGGAAGAACCACAAGAGGTTGACGAAGAGTCTGTGAAAGAGGAAACGGACGAGCAAGAGATCCCAGACTGAAAAACTCTCGTTACCTTATCGTTACCTCACGTGAAATAATCGTCTTGCCTACACAGTCAGCACCATCACCTCATTTCCTGCTGAATAGTGGGATGCAAAATAACTTTCACAAATTAAATCAAAAGTCGACAACTGCCACTGCTTCACAAGACTGAAACTTTCCTCCTTTGTTAACCAGGAATCGATCAAATGACCACAATTGCCAGCTTACAAAAATTGTCAACGCTGTGATCTCTCTCTATATTTTTTCAAATATATAGGGTATTGTATAGAGTCAATGTATGTTCAAGTCCACAGTCATGAATGAATTTCAGAGTTCAACCCAGGGAATCTTTGGAGTGCTGGAAGAACAGCAGGATCTTCATATGAGCCCGTTTTTACCTTGAATACTCTATGCCCACTCAAAGCCTGTTTTTTAAAGGTTATTTTTCATACACTAATTAACATTTCCCATGACTCATGGATGTGAATATTATACTGGTGTTGTGTGTCCAGAGTTTCCTTAAGCAATGTTTCTGTTATACACCAATTGCACACTATTTGTTCCTGTCCCGTAAACTCCTCTTTGTTTATCAGCCCTTTATATTTGCTTTTGTTTTTATTTTATTTCATATTGTTTAAACACCAACATATTATAGTGTAATAATTAACTTGCATTGACATTGATTGCATTGAAACTGACAGTTAGTGGCTTGTGTTATATAAATAATTCCTTACTTCCTGGTGGTAAGAGCAAAGTCTATTTTATTATTTTTTACAAATATCATTTTTATACCTACAGTATATTCCAGAACATCCTTTATCGTTGACAGTATTATTGTCCATGCTCACGTTTGAGGCAATTCTCAGTCAAAAAAAAAAAAAAAATTAATCTGCCTCAACATTTGAGTTCCAGACGAGTCTGTATTTGGGTACTTACAAAAGAAAGTAATAAACATTACTTGTGTTTTTTGAAACCATTTTTATTATTATTATTTCTGTTATTGCAACAGGATCATAACTATTTAGATTCTATCAAAATAAAGGGCAGGGCACTCAAAGAAAAAGCCATTTTCAGAGACGGAAGTGCACTTTCCACAAAAAGGGTACAGAATAGGACGTGAAACTCCTACAAGTATTTCTTTTTCTACATACGGTCAGTGAAAGGAGATGGTCATGCTTCAGAAATTTGTGATGATCAGCCTTGGAAAATAAAACCAGTTATGCAGTATTTAGTTGGATATCATTTTTGGGAGATGTATATACTGGTTTAATCATTCATTTCAGATTTTTCTAGTGATAGCAGTACATGTTAAATTAACATCCAAATATATATATATATATATATATATATATATATATATATACTGTATATATACATATATATATAAGGATAAAACGTTGCTGAGCAAAGCTCTTCTCTTTTACTGAACATGAAGTCACCATCACAGGCATATATACACTCACCTAAAGGATTATTAGGAACACCTGTTCAATTTCTCATTACTGCAATTAATCAACCAATCACATGGCAGTTGCTTCAATGCATTTAGGGGTGTGGTCCTGGTCAAACACTCCAAACTGAATGTCAGAATGGGAAAGAAATGTGATTTAAGCATTTTTGAGCGTGGCATGGTTGTTGGTGCCAGACGGGCAGGTCTGAGTATTTCACAATCTGCTCAGTTACTGGGATTTTCACGCACAACCATTTCTAGGGTTTACAAAGAATGGTGTGAAAAACATCCAGTATGCGGCAGTCCTGTGGGCGAAAATGCCTTGTTGATGCTAGAGGTCAGAGGAGAATGGGCCGACTGATTCAAGCTGATAGAAGAGCAACTTTGACTGAAATAATCACTCGTTACAACTGAGGTATGCAGCAAAGCATTTGTGAAGCCACAACTCGCACAACCTTGAGGCGGATGGGCTACAACAGCAGAAGACCCCACCGGGTACCACTCATCTCCACTACAAATAGGAAAAAGAGGCTACAATTTGCAAGAGCTCACCAAAATTGGACAGTTGAAGACTGGAAAACTGTTGCCTGGTCTGATGAGTCTCGATTTCTGTTGAGACATTCAGATGGTAGAGTCAGAATTTGGCGTAAACAGAATGAGAACATGGTTACCACTGTGCAGGCTGGTGGTGGTGGTGTAATGGTGTGGGGTATGTTTTCTTGGCACACTTTAGGCCCCTTAGTGCCAATTGGGCATCGTTTAAATGCCACGGCCTACCTGAGCATTGTTTCTGACCATGTCCATCCCTTTATGGCCACTATGTACCCATCCTCTGATGGCTACTTCCAGCAGGATAATGCACTATGTCACAAAGCTCGAATCATTTCAAATTGTTTTTTTGAACATGACAATGAGTTCACTGTACTAAAATGGCCCCCACAGTCACCAGATCTCAACCCAATAGAGCATCTTTGGGATGTGGTGGAACGGGAGCTTCGTGCCCTGGATGTGCATCCCACAAATCTCCATCAACTGCAAGATGCTATCCTATCAATATGGGCCAACATTTCTAAAGAATGCTTTCAGCACCTCGTTGAATCAATGCCACGTAGAATTAAGGCAGTTCTGAAGGCGAAATGGGGTCAAACACAGTATTAGTATGGTGTTCCTAATAATCCTTCAGGTGAGTGTATATATATATTAGGGGTGGAACGGTATATGTATTCGTATCGAACCGAAACGGTACGGGCGTCACGGTTCGGTGCACGAATCTACACGGAGAATACACGGTATACAAATAAATAAAACTCGCGTGCAAATTAATTAATGTAATGCGGAACTACTGTTAGATACGCGGGTTCTTTAGGGACACATAATATGTACCATCGGCTTAGCTCTGAACGCGCGTTCACTTCAAACATTGCGTCCTATTCGCGTCCTATTCGCTAGCGTCGAACTAGACGCGAATTTGACGCTCTATTCGCGTTTGGTGTGACCGTGACCGCATAATGAACAGGCTGCGATGTCAAGATTGCAATGCTGGAGTGTGTGTGTGTGTGTGTGTGTGTGTGTGTGTGTGTGTGTGTGTGTGTGTGTGTGTGTGTGTGTGTGTGTGTGTGTGTGTGTGTGTGTGTGTGTGTTTGTGTGAGAGAGAGAGAGGCGTGCGGGCGCGATCGAACTGTGTGTGTGTGTGTGTGTGTGTGAGTGTGTGTGTGAGAGAGAGAAAACATAGTCCGTCATTTTGTTCATATACAGATCATTAAACCTGCAAAGTGTTTACTTATATTTGTGTACACTCGCAATAAAACACAACATTGTGCTTTTGTCACACTGTAAACTCTTGTCAAACTGTAACCTACAACTGTCACCCAACCAAAATCACACACACACACACACACACACTGTTTCAAAAGCAAAACATATTTATCCAACTCCATTTCAAAACAGTCTGTGGGTCCCATCTTTTGGACATTTATCATATTGCATTGGTTTTCATTTCTTGTCCTCGGAGCACTAATCTCACACATTCTACATTGATTAAAAAAAGAAAATCGAATGTGTTTTTTTAATGGTAGTATTATTTTATACAATCAATTATTTATAATTCAGATGAGAATGTTACATTGTCAATTAATAATGTTAATTAAAATTAAGGAAAACAAATATATTGATCTGAAATATAGCAAATTAATTTTAAATTAATAGTACAGTTACCAAACATATTGCAAGGTCTTTTTGTCTTTTTATTAATTTAATTAATAAACTAATTATATAAAACTATTGTCAGTGCACTACAAATAAACTGGTTCTATGCCTTTATTAATAAAGCTTATTTAAAAAATGCAATGCCTTCTGCATTTTTGTTTTGCTTTTTTTTATGAACCGAACCGTGACTTCTGTGTACCGTTCCACCCCTAATATATATATATACTGTATAGATGTATTAATGTTTTATTCGCAATTTTATTGTGGGATACAGCCGAGAAGACATCACATGAGACTGTGACAAGGGGGATTCAGACATTTCATGTATTTAAATCTGACTATTGAAAATGCAAGATTAATTTTATGTTAGGTATTAGTTTAACTATATTGGTTGTCACCAAGAAAAAAAAGGGAATTGATGCCTGAAATGCTTTAAAATATATAATAGGGCATCAAAGTGTACCATTTTCGTAGTGAGAGTTCAGATCTTATGAAATATCATGGAGTGTAATGCTTTTGATAATGAAAGCATTACTTTATCACTCCAATGATATACAAGTTCAAAGATGTTTCTCAAGGGTTCGGTGACGCTTGCCGGTGGGCAAACCAACAGAAAATCGTCTTAATCCAGCTCTGTCGTGTCTTACTCACAGTGCACATGTCATTTAACCATTCCCTCACACCACAGGGGCGAAAGAAGACCGTAAATGCCATTTTATCTTAGCATCTCATTGCCTCACGAAGCTTCTCCTCCCCTCACCCTGTCAGGGAATCGGGCTTGCATTCTGATATTAATGCATCGAGGGGTATAATTCCAATTTGTTCCAAAGCAACTATTAATTTGCCCATTTCAGGGCAGTGCAGGAGGAACCCCTGTAAGGCCACTGAACCATGAAAGACATTATCCTGAAGGGTTCTGTCTCCTCCTTTCTTTTTATTTTCTCGAAGAGGAAGTATTTGGTGTTGATGCGTCGCTGGTTCCTTCAGCCGTTTGCGATGGACCCCCTGAAGCTGAGCACTCAGCATGCAGCATGCGAAGTGTGTCATTAGGGTTGTAATAATGGCAGCGGGTGTGCTTTTGTCAGAGTGGTCTTCTCGTTGAAGACCCCCATGCCCCCTTCCACAACCTGATTACAAACTCTGCATAATAAAAAGGTCCTGTGATGGGGACTTCATGTTCAGTGAAGGAAGGGAGCTTTGCTCAGCAAGCATACGTTTTATCCATGAGAACTCAAAAACTATAATGTCTAAGAGTGTGATAACCCCTAGATTACTCTACATTATGCAATAGTAATATGAATTCTGCCTGAAGACATTGTGGTCATCATGGTGATGATGATAGTCTGAAGCATAGAGGTCTATAATACCTGGAGAAAGCCAAGCGTTTCCAATCATCTCAATGGCAGCTGCTCAGTGAATGCACGACTTCCCATAAGTATGCAAGGTCACTGGTAAAACATTTATAATGAAATAAATATTAGTTCATATTGCGTGCAAAAAAACCCCCGCTATTGTGTATTTAATTTATCTACTAACAGGGTCTTTTGACCACTTGGATATATATTTATCATTATTATTATTATAACACAAACACACACACACTTGGTCAGAAGTGAAAAAAGCAAAATCATTTCCATGCAATACAGACTTGCTTTATGACCACTGATGTCTATATGTAGCTATATGTAGACTATAGATATATTATCTCTGTGTGTGTGTGTGTGTGTGTGTGTGTGTGTGTATACGTATATATATCTATATATATACATATACGTATATATATATAAATATATATATATATATATACATATACGTATATATATATATATATACATATACGTATACACACACACACACAGAGATAATATATCTATAGTCTACATTGTGCCAAGTGTAACGTTTGGTGGAGGGGGGATTATGGTGTGGGGTTGTTTTTCAGGGGTTGGGCTTGGCATCTTAGTTCCAGTGAAAGGAACTCTTAAAGCTTCAGCATTCCAAGACATTTTGGACAGTTTCATGCTCCCAACTTTGTGGGAACAGTTTGGGAATGGCCCCTTCCTGTTCCAACATTACTGCGCACTAGTGCACAAAGCAAGATCCATAAAGACATGGTCATGGATAAGCGAGTTTGGTGTGGAGGAACTTGACTGGCCTGCACAGAGTCCTGACCTCAACCCGGCAGAACACCTATGGGATGAATTAGAATGGAGACTGCGGGCCAGGCCTTCTCGTCCAACACCAGAGCCTGAC